ATATATATATATTTCAATCCAGGTCTTTCAATGGCTTTCTTCGAATCCTTGGTATTATGAACAAATTTTGTGAGGAGAAACTACAGGAACACCTCACAACCTACGATCCTAATGAAATTCGTGACGTGACTGATTGCTTGATCAAGGCCACAATCCAGACGCCTCAGGAAGAAAAAGAGGCTGTAGGATTAACAGATGAACACATTTTGACGACTGTCCAGGAACTCATTGGGGCTGGATTTGACACAATAGCCAGCACACTGCAGTGGGCCGTTCTCTACATGATGTCATACCCTGACATACAAGAAAAGGTGATGAAACCTGTTTTAAAAAATGGTTGAAGTATGTCTCTGTATGTACAGTATAAGGTTTTACGGCGCTCGCAACTGCTAAGGTCATATGAGCGCGCTGTATGTCTCTGGGCTGCTGTATTGATAAATATATAGAAAGAATGATGCAACATCATAGTTTTTTTAAGCTTGTCCACTTTAGGTGACTTTAGAAAACTGTTTTGATGACTTTGGGGATTGTTGTTTATACACTTAATTATAATGTAGTACGAGTATTCCGTCTTTGAACATGATCAATGCTGTTTGTGAAATAAAATGAGTGCTACATTAAAATTGGCTATTGATACATTGATAATATCATAATCAATATCTCCATGCAATTACAAGTTCAGGATTATTATTATCTCTTTCAACTCCGCCAGGTGCACTCAGAGATTGTATCCCAAATTGGACAAGTTCGGCCACCAACACTGAGTGATCTCCCCAACCTTCCTATGACCGAGGCCACGTTGTTGGAGGTGCTCAGGCATTCCTGCATCTTCCCTTTTGCTTTACCACACAGCACGACCAAAGACACAGAGCTGGATGGCTATGCGTGAGTTCAAACAACAATATAGTCTTTAAAGATTATTAAACAGTTCTAAGTTGCCAGCGTGCTTTAAGGCAGAAAAGTGCTGTTATCTTAAGTGCTATTATCTGGGGACAACTGTATAATAAAAGTCGGAACCTATTAGGATATTAGAGTAAGAAATACATTATCATTTAAAAAGTACCTTTCCTGTCAATCTTATACCCAACTTCGTGAGGGGTTTTTCTTTGACAACAGTGTGATGATAAAAAGCACAAAGGAGACATTTATTAAAGCACATAACCTCAGTTATTTCATAGTTTTATTCAAAGGCTTACTAGTTTAAGAGTTTTTTTGGTAGTATTTGTCCTGAAGATGTAACCCGTCAGCTGCTGACTCACAATGCTCATCATCAAAGAATTGATTGTACTGCAACTTCATCAAATGGCTATCACTTAATTGTCTAAATCTAAGTTTTCAGAACAATACATTGTAATACTGTTTGATGTTTCCTTCCACAGCTTTGTGATGGCAATCAAATTTAACTATGTCTGATAGCTTTTTGTTTTCCCTTGTCCAGGATCCCTAAAGACACCTTGGTGTTTGTCAACCTATGGTCAGTCTCGAGGGACGCTGAATTCTTTCAAGATCCTGAAAAATTTGACCCATCCCGATTCCTTGATGTCTCTGGAAGCGTAATTGACAAAGCAAAAGCTGACTTCTTTCTTCCATTTGGAGCCGGCCGCAGAAAATGTCCAGGAGAGCAATTAGCGAGAATGGAGCTTTTTATGTTCTTTGCCCGATTGTTGCAGAAATGTGAGATGAGAACGCCCAAAGGAGACAATCCAATTATTGACAGCAAATATGGATTGACCCTGAAACCTGTGGATTTCAAAACAGTATTTACCCAAAGATGAGCTTGAAAAAAAAGTAAAAACCAAGTTCTTTATTGTATTAAAAAATGTGATGAAAAGATGTGCTTGCTGCGTCGAGTGTCATGCATGCTGCATAATTACTACAATGTAAAGTGAGTACTACAGAGACCTGAAAATGATCGGGTTTTTACTAATGGGTGAAGAGGGTCTCTTGAAGCTGAGATAGGGCATTTTTGTGTTATTTGGCTTTCTGTGTTTGTCTGTCACTCTTAAGTAGATAGTCACCACATCTTGGGAGCTTGGGTATCCCTGCAGGCGGCACAGTACCATAGTTCCTCCACTATCACCGGAATCTATGAAAGGATTGGCTTGCCTATCGTTCCAGTCCTCAGCTGGTTGGATATTCTTCTAGCTTTTCCATGCTGGTTGCTGTCTCTCGCTGACCTTCTTGAGACAGCGTTTTCCCTCAGCCTTTCCACCGTGTTTGATGTGAAGCCTCAGTGATCTTTAAACCATGCTGTCAATGCTGCCATGACAATTGTCAACACATCTATGATACACAAATGAAGATGTCCATCAAAAGCTAAACCCTCTAACGGTTTTGGTGGCATCCTGAGCGTGAATGCTTAGTTAAAGAAGGAACAAAAAAAATATAACTTCCCCTTTGTTGAAGTCGTGCAGTCTGTTTTCAGTTTATGCAGTGTTTGGCATTGCTGCATGGAAATGAATCAGAAACACGGCCAGTTTGCAAAGATAATTCTTTCAACGTAAGTTGATCATGAAGATACCATGTTTCTAGAAATATGAGACTTGCTGTAATGTCTCAAATCCCTATTCGGCGTTTAGAAGTCAAACAAGGTGTTTTCAGTTGTTGTTTTTTTTGTGTTTTTTTTTTAATTAAAAAAAAATAATTAAAAACTCTCATAAACCTCTTGATGTGATGTAAGTTTCAAATGATATGAGGGTATTTCTATACTAATAATATAACATGATAAGGCCGCCCATGAAACTTGCCAACATCTAGTGCTTTGAATGCATGTTTCCTGCTTCCTCTGCTGACCAAACACCTCATGTTCTCTCCCCATTGAGCACGTCTCCCAACGCCTTATAATTTGTTCCGGGGGGGGGGGGGGGGGGGGAGTAAATGAGGATTGAATCAAGTAAAGGGACTGAAAGCACCGATTTTTTTCTTCATCTAGAGTTCGGTAAAAGAAGGAACTGTGCGGTACAGAAAGGAAACTGGCCACAAATAAGCCAACTATACTAATATTACTAATAGGTTGAACACGATTGCTGGAAATCTCCTGTTTCTTTTTTTCAGTCAGTCTCACCACCATTTCTTTAGAATTAGTGGCAAACCCTAAGTCTGTGATTTCTGGAGTTGGTGAGAGGACTAATTTTCCCATGATAGACTACAAATCCTAGTTTGTCAAACAGTTTTGTGTTACCTATACTTTTTCAAAACAAGCTTTCTTATTTTCAACTATTAGCAGTGAATCATCGAGATACCAAATGATTGTGTAGCCTAAGCTATGCAGATGGGCCTAGATTGACTTGGTGATTTTCTCGGAAGACCGAGGATATTACGCCCGTTGTGAAACATGCATACACTCATACAACAGGCCTTTCCACTACTTGAACTTCAGGTATTTCCTGTCCCTCTCATCTATAAGCACACTACAGTGTGCCGAAATCACGTCTCCACTTGCCAGCCAGCTATGTTCTGTTAACATATCCATATTTTATATTTTCGTTGAATTCCTTCAAGTACATGTTCCACTCTGTTTGAACCATCAGATTTCTCTCTAGAAAATATACCAAAAAGAAATTCACCATTCTAATGCTCTGATTTGGCGATTCCTCTTTTCTGTAAAAGGCCTTCACTAATTTCGTTGTCTATTATAAGTTTCCATCACTACTAATAGAGGAAAAAGAATCAAACTCACTTTTTCCCATTTTCTAATGTTCTGTAAGGTCTATCGAGGTTCCTTTTGCCATCGACAAAATGGTTTTATCAAATGTAAGAGATGATATTATGTGTATGTCTTGACAGAAAACTTTCAGCTTTGACTTTCAGCATCCGCCTCACTTCCTTTGTTACTTTTATTCTTACCTGTGTTCCGCCTATTCTGGTCATGACCTCTTGGCCGGACTCCAGTTGCATGGCTGGAGTGGAGCACGTGGGCTATAGCAGCTTTGGCCCCGGCCACCTCAGGAACAGAGTGGTGGGATGAGAACCGCTGCGCTTCCTGCCACTGGTCACTCTTTAGATCGCTCATAGGTACATGAAGTCTCAGAATATATTTACTTCAGGGAGGGTTTTATACACTTAAGAGATGGTTTTATCGTATTCATACTTAAGTATAACTTTAGGGAGGGCATCTTACCACTCAGCTCCTGACGATGGAGTCGATAAAACCAGAAACAAGGTCCACCTTCCAAGGTGGGCCTTGCTAAAATTTCTTTCAATTTATTTCCTCTGCCGTCAGGCACTCTCTATTAATGTGACTATAGAGCTGTGACATTAAGCAAAGGACACAGAATAAAGACTGTATGTATTATATTTATAATGACATTTTATAGTACATTTATTGAATTTTCCCGAGAGTACGAATTAGCTGATTTATCACAGCTTCATAAATACTCTCCATACTCCATGTTCTGTACATAATAATATGTAATGCTATCCTGTCTTGGTCATGCATTTATAATTAGCTTTATTGTTGTGTGTTTTTTTGTTTCTGCACAATTACTATTCAAAACATTTAAACCCTTTTCTTTAATTTGATAGTCTTTTTTTTTTAAAGTAAAATTTGAAAGCAATGAAGCAATGTCTACCTGTTGTCGTGTTTGTGTACACACACAAGTACAAGGAAATGATCGACAATAGAACACAGCGGATTATGCTGTAGAACTTGATGTGGTTTTCCTTGAGTTATGACTTGGAAGTTGGATGCCTAAGGTTGCGAAGGCTTCGTCCTCTGTTTTCATTGAGTTCATTTTGAGTGTCTCAAATGTATATTCTTGATAATCATCTTCTTCCTCCTCATCCCCTATCTCTATTTTGTGGGTCTTCTGGTTATTGTACTTGAGTTTTCTGCACATCTTTTTAAAATGGTGCGGCTTTTTGCAGTAGTTGCATGTCTGATGTCTTGCTGGGCATTGCGAAAAAAGGTGAGGGGAGTTGCCGCAATTTGGACAGCATTTTTTGTGGTTTTCTGATATTGTTTGATTTAGGAGTGTTTGGTTGGACATGAAATTGTTCGGGTCTAGATCTGTGGTTCTGTGGGGGAAATCTGGGCCTGGAACTACTGGAAAGTGGGGTTTTTTTTCATGAGTTTGTGAACATTCACTTGAGGTTGGCTGGACATCGAGTTTAGTTCATGCTTGGATGTTTCCAAAGAACGGGCGATTTTAAGAGTGTCTTCTGGAGTAGGGTCGTCCTCCTGGGGGAGTCGTTCCTTGATTGAATGGTCATTTGTTCCGAAAATAATTCGACCTCTGATCAGAGAGCTCTGGAGTTTGTCGAACTCGCAACGCTCTGTCAGGAGTTTGAAGGCTGTGACAAATTAATTGATCCATGGACTTTCCCTCCTTTTGCACTGTAGAATTGAACCTGTATCTGAGTGTTGTAATTCTTTTCTTGGGGGTGCAGTGGGTCCTAAATCGTGTAAAAAGGTCCTCCGCTGTCTGTTCTTCTTCTGGAATTTCCCAAGTATTAAAAATGTTTCTCCCTTCCTGTCCAATGTTGATAAGCAGGTAGGATATTTTCTGTTTGTCCATTTTCTCTACAAGAGGCCCTGTTAGGAGGAGGCGCATATACTGCTCCCACTGTTTAAAATTGCCCGACAGGTTTGGGTCATCAAAGTTCCTGGGGGGAATTTGTGTATGTTCCATGGTCCTGACTATTTCAGGTTTTATTAGTGCAGGTGGATTATAGACGTAGATCGAGCTTGAGGCACTTGAGATTCTGGAGTGATTTTGTGTCACTCTTTTACTCTGGGTCTGACAGGGGTGTGCGACCCTTGACTTGCGAGCAGGCAACGATCTTACCTTAGATCTCTAGAATCTAGTACTTATATCTTAATAAATCCCTGAAGACTTGAAGTTGATGGTGTGTAGGTTCGTCTGGATTTCTGACACCATGCTGTGTTTGTATACACACAAGAGTACAATCTCTCTGGCGCGGAGCTTTGTTTTCTCTGTACCAAGATGTGGTTCATGGAGTTTCTTCATAACCTCTTCTTTCAAAGATTTGGGGATGATTATCCTTGATCCCTTGGTGAGAATTCCATCTTCAATGGGTATTTCATCCCAATAGATCCAGTAGGCTTTGCATTGATTAGGTGCATCTTGTTGTTTCTCTGGCCAGCCAAAGAAGACTAAGTCTTTTAGAGCCATCAGTTCAGTGTGTGAGGCGGTAGCATCTTTGATGCCTTGTAGATAGTTTCCACTGAACTGTGTCGCTATTGCGTGGATCTTGATATTCAGGCCCTCTACTGGTTCCTTCTCATTTCCAGGGAGTCTGGACAGGGCGTCAGCGATAAGCATCTGTGTTCCTGGTTTGTAGATGATTTGGAAATCATATGGTTGCAGTCTTAGAAGCATTCTATGGAGTCTGGGTGGGGGGGGGGTGCTGTCTTGAGATGCCTTAGCTGGACCGACTGGAGAGGGCGGTGGTCAGATTTAACTTGGAATGTCTGTGTGTACAGGTATGTGTGGAACCGTTCACACTCGTATACCACAGCGAGAAAGTTTTGCTGGCAAATGCTACTGGCTTACCATCTTGCAGGAGGGTAGCACCAAGTGCTTTCATGGATGCATCTACTTGCAATGTGGTTGGCTTTTTCCGGATTGAAGCAGGCGAGCGTGACCTCACTTGTAATCGAGTCCTTGACTTTCTGGAATGCATTTTGGTGGTTAACTGTCCACTCGAACTTGTTTGACTTGGAAAGGAGTTCTCTCAGTGGTGTTGAGAGCTGGCTGATGTTTTGGATGAAGGGGCCCATGTATGACGCTAGACCCAGGAAGGACTGTAGCTC